ATATTCATACGTCTCGATGTTGAGATGATCAATTAGAGTTTTCAACATTAACAACCTTTTCCAATGGATTTTTGAGGTGCACCTTTAATTTTTAAGGTTGCAACCTTATATACACTTTTTCCTTTTAATAAAGGTAAAAACATATGCTTATGTTCTCCTAATGGAGCGAGCATATTGTACTTATACTCCCCCCTGGTATAATATATTGCAAAGTGATTGTTAGCTCAAAACAATGTGGTTGTTAGTTGAATAGTTGCACTGAATTTTAGAAAGATAAAAAGAATAAGATAATAATTTCAAAATATTAAATATATTACAAAAAATTTGTAAAACTCTGCTCATCCGGTCTAATCGTTCACGATAGACTAATAAGCTGGCCAAAAACTAGACAAATGCTGATTTTTATTGCTTTTCGACTAAACTTGATTTTGCTTTAGACATATCAGCCAAGGCACCGGTTGAACCAGCCAGTCCAATCCGATCATGAATTTGCAGCTCCCGGTCTAATGGTTTCCATGGATTTAGAATCTAAAACATATAATGAATCACTCCATCATTTCTCTAGATGGTGATGACCTAATGGACCATAGATTTCTCACCCAAAGTACTAATTACTGATAAACTATTTTCCAAAGAGGAGATATATAGATCTCAAGTACTCACAAAAGTCAATCTCATGATTGCGTGCTCTCAATATTCAAGCTTGCTAGGTAGCACAATTCTGAACAAACCCTCCGTGTATCCAATTGGACATTATCATGAGATGGTTAATTGGCAGCATATGAAATGTATCCAACACAGAACCAGCAATTAGAAAATCATCACTCAAGCTTAGACTCGCCCGAGCTGCTCGGAACTGGCAGTATGCCAATCCGGACCAGGTGAGTTGGAACCGAGCCAAACATTTCTTATATATTTTCATTGAAACTTGGCCGAGTCGACAGCCCAACCTTGTTGAGTTGGGCGATTCAACCCAGCAGAATTGGACTCTGACTTGAGCTCAGGAACCTGAAGAGTCCAATCCCAAGTCCGGTTTTCAAACACTGTATATACTATTCACTCATGTGGGTTGGCCTGATGGTGGTCAGGCATTTTGTTAGAAACCAAAATCTATCTATGATTTCTATGCAGAAAAACAAACATTATCAAGGTCAAACTAAAGCCATGCACTTCTAAAAAGACCTCTCTACAAGAGATATCAAGATCCATTCTCTTGGGGTGAACTTTTTTATTTACCCAAAAAAAACCATGCAATTCCCATCCAGGCCATGAATTTGTAAATTTTTTGAAATAATGGAACAAGCCACTGCCAAAGATGAATTTTGTAAACCCTATTTTGGCCCCATTATCAGTGTCCAGGTAGGAATGTACATATACAAGATAGGGGATTGATCATGTGGCATACCATGTGGCTACTGCAAGATTCACCAATGATAAAATAGATTTATATAATATTTCATACTTGTCGAGCCATTAAATAACCTCTACCAATGATATTTCTCACAAATTCTAATTTTGTCGAGCCATTAAATAACCTTTTCTTTTAAAAGTAAAATAAATTGCAAATTTCCGGAAAAGAATAAGATAGCCAATGCCAAAATGCTTGTATCTCTTCATAAACTGATAAGCTACGAGAAGTAAGGAACCTCCAGACCAACATATGGAGGAATTTTAAAAGAGAACTGGTATGTAGTGTTTCCTATCCCAGATTCATAGGGTGTACTTCATATCAAACTACACAGAGGACAAAGAATGCTTCAGTGATAAAACAGCATCAAATGTAGAGAATTAATAATAGAAAGACACAATTTAACTGTTTTCAAGAATAACAAAATTTTAAAGAGACAAACAAATTCAACAGTACAGAATATTTCAAATTCAAAATGATTTTCAAGAAATAAATATTCTACAGATAGTAACAACAATTTATGTTGGCTAGGAAGTTGAATCAGAAATTAGTACAAACCTTCATGTTCGTGATGGTGCAGTGATGAATATAATCAGAAGTAAATGGTAAAGCTCTAGTTTGTAATGATTCCATCAGCATGATACTTTCATCTGTAATAAACCCAGAATGACACCGGTGCTCACCTTTGCAGGTCAATAGAGCACGGTATTCAAACAGACTCTGGGTGATCCATGAGAGAGAGAGTTCAAACAAAGACATGGCATGAAAAAACTTGATGAGGAGCATTTTACCCAGTTGGGACTTGGAAGACATTACTGTTGAGGGGCACATTGATGGCGGGATCAATTCATCTCAGATGGCTGCTAAACCCACCATTACATGCAGCAACCTTATCCAAATACAACAGTAAACAACAACCCCATCTTCCTCTCATACTTCTCTCCCCTTTCTCCTACTTCTTTCATCATCATCATCATCCAAGCCTGTTTCCAATTTGAGGTTACTTACATGAATCCTGTTCTTCCATTTTTTTCTATCAAAAGCCATACCCTCAATGAGACCAAAAACCACCATATATTTTCTCACTACTTCCATCCATATCCTTTTGGGTCTTCTTTTTTACTTTTTAGAGTTTGAACCAAATTACACCTCCTAACTGGTTATATGTTAGATCTACGCTGCACATGGCCAGGTCGCCTAAGTCTACTTTCGCTCATCTTATCGCCTATTGAAGCTACACCTAAGTTCCCTTGTATGTATTCATCCCAAATTCTATCTTATCTTGTCTTGCTACTCATCCATCTCAACATCCTCATCTTAGCTACACTTATCCTTTCTTGTCTTGCTTCTACTTCTTTAAAGAAAAAAAAAAAATACTGCAAGATCTTGATTACAATATTAGAAGTTCTTCTATAATCAAAATAAAGAATGAAGAATCCAAGAATAATTCCCCTAAACCAATACAATTCATATCCCCTATTCCCCAAACGACTACAACTGATACAAATTTGGAAAGTAAATGAGAATCCCAACAATCATTAAGATATTTTCATTTTTTTTTTTGTGCATGAAAATACAGGAAGATACAGAAAATTTCTGAAGAACAGACTTGGCATGAAAATGCAGTCTGCAAAATATTACTACAGAACTGAAGTTTCATTTTTCAAATCAAGCTTGGTCCTTTAACCCATGAAGTTTTCTAAAACCTTTTATAGTACATGAATATGAATTCTTATAGTATCTAAGGAAGCATATACCACTATGGGTGAAAACTCTAGCTATTCAATATGTAAATTTTCACGTGAAATTAAACTAAGGAGGCATTTTAGCATAATGCAACTCAAACAATGTTTACATGGAGTATATTCTATGAAACCTTCCTTCAAAACAAACAATCCAGTTTATACAACCCCATCAACTCATGAAGGAAACTCAAATAAGAACTTAACTGCAGAGCACATAGCACATGCACATTCTTTCCAAAGTAGTACAAAACAGGGCCATTGGCAACATAAATATTTTTCTTAATGTCTAGTAGCATAAGAATTCTTTTATGAAAACAAAACCCAAAAGATGATGTTTAGAATGGGAGTGGTTCATAGGAAAACTAGTATAGTTCCAAGCCCAAAATATCACACAAAAAAGATGTGTACATCAGACACAAGAAGTTCACTGTGATCCAGTATTCCAGTCACTAATCAAGAATATTTTGTAACTATGTACTCTTGTGATACTGTGCACTTTCAAACAATGGTCCCATTCAATTTCCACATCAACATCTCCATAGCTTTTGCAGGATCACCACTGTACCGCATAAACACTTCAGCTATCTCAGCAGGTATGATATTCAAATTGTTGAGCAAGTCCTTAATCTTCTGCATGTTGGTTCTAATACTAACTTCAATCTCATCATTCTCCAAATCGAAATATTTATTTGTGAGTGCCTCAAAGTCCAAAGGTCGAGTGTAAGTTAGGGTCATGTGCATGTCCATCCTGCCGGGCCTCAATAATGAGGGGTCCAAATTTTCTATATTTGTAGCTGTAAACACCATTACCTTCTCACATAGGAAACAAGAAGACCACAATCCATCTATCAAATTCAAAAGCCCAGTCATGGTGATCAAAGCCTCCCCTCCTCCAATTTTTTGTATAATATAACCTTCTTCGACTCTCTGATTCTCTGCTCCCTCTCTCTTAACAACCCATTTGTCAATATCCTCGAAAACAATCACTGACCTCTCCCTCGTGGATATGAGAAGTTTCCTCAAATGAAAATTATTATGTACACTACCCAAGTCTATATCATAGAGATTAAAGCACAACTCATTGGCAATTGCAGCAACTAAGGTAGTCTTTCCCGTTCCCGATGGTCCATGGATCAAATAACTCCTCTTCCATGCTCTACCTGCCTCCACATACAACTCCTTTGCTTCGCTAAACTTCACCAAATCTTTCTTCAAACTATTCTTTACCTCATTATTCACGGCTATCGTATCGAACGTAGAAGGAAGATGAAAATCCACAGTGGACCATAAACCGCCATCACCATTCATCGATCTATTGGTACACAACACTCTCTTCGCTCCTTGAACTTCAGCTCCCTTCTCAAACACATATGGGATATAAAATTCAAGTGCAAGATCATGGTAATCCTTATGAAACATAAGCTCAAAATACCTTTTCTCTTGCCTTGAAGGACCACTGGAACAAAGTTTCCATTGCACCCACATTTTCTCATATTGGTCCCTAATAGTCTGGTTAGTTTGGACATCTAATGAAAAAGCTTGGGGGTTCCTACCCCGAATTAACTTGACAACATGAACTGATTTGCAGAGTTGAGAGGTAATGTAGGTTTGAACTAAACTGAATTCCTCACAATAATAACCATCAGAATCGATCTCTTCAATAATGATACAAGCATGTCTGTAATGGGAACGGATGAAACGATGGATAACTCGATCAAAGGCGTGCCTTATTTGTATTGGGGAAAATTTTGCAATCAATCCAACCAACACTACAATCGAACTAATCTTAGCTCCCAAACCTCCCATGTTGGTCAAATCTATAGTGCAAAGAGTCTCTACAGATGCCCAAGAAGCTAAAAAATACCAGAAGAAGAAGAAGAAATGGAGAGGTGAATTGTAAGTGCTTAAGAGCCTTAGCAATGAATAAGTGAGTTATTCGTGTTTAGGGATCCTTAACAATGGAAAGGTGAAGTCAGAAGCCATGCCCTTCTTCTGAGGAATGAAGAGGTGGGTTCTAAGTGTTTTGGCAGCCTCAACAATGGGGAGGTGAATCCTAGTTCATTACAATCAGAATTGAGAAATGAGAGGTGAATTCGCCTTAACTGTTTCTGAAAATTCTAACTAGTGGAACCTTATTCACAGAGAGAAGAGAAAAAAGTGAGAAAAACTATGGATAATAGAGGACTTACTCAGAGATAACAAGCATAGAGAGAGACAGAAAGAAAGAGAATCCAATTATTCATAAACATTTAGGAAGCATAAAATGCATGGAAAATGGAAATGTCATGGAAAGAGCCTTAGACGGTTTCTGATAATTCTAACCAAAGGAAAGCCACTAACAATTCACACAGAGAGAGTAGTGAAAGAAACAAAATAACAATTCTAATTCTCTTGCTAGAATGCATTAGAATGAACTAATCTCATTCTCTCACTAGAATGCACTACAATGAACAAACGCTTTTTCTTGAGCCATTGTTTGAGGCGAGAAGTTGAGAACACTTCTAATTCTCTCTAGACCAGTGTCCAGTTATAAAGAGTTTTGAATGGACGGTTGGAAGTCTTGGGATTATATGGATAAGGTGTCAAAATCACTGTGGAAAAAGGTTAGCCCTAATGCATGCACGGATTGCCCATGTGTTATAATCCTGCGAGCATATACCGTACACCTACCCCCACCTAATTAAGAGGATTTTTCAATGAACTGCCTAAGAATCACTAATCACTAGATGGTTATTTTCAAAAGGAAATATTTTAGTTTTGAGTCACTTAGATCTCACCCTTGAAAAATTGGACAATCTTTGCTTAATCTTGAAACGTTATTTTTTTAAAGTGCATAGAGAGTGCAATTTGAAAATATTTTTATCAAGGTTAAATTCTAGAGTATCTCTCTAAAGTTTGAACTTTGTGTTGACATTGCTTCGAGTCTCATGGATCAAAACTATGATGTTTGTGACTTCATACACCATAGAAGTAGACTTTGGTGGGTGAAGTGGAGATGTGTTACTAGAGCTTTATGTGTTCGTTTCAAGCCAATGAAGTTGAAGGAAAAGTTTTATAGGACAACTGTGAGACTAGCTTTGCTTTATGCTGCATAATGTTGGGCAGTCAAGAAACAATATACCCATAGGACTAGTATAATCGAGATAAAGAAGTTGAAATGGACGAGTTACAAAACAAAAAGGGATAGAATTTTAAATGAATACATATAGGAGAATTTAAGTGTGACTCCATTAGGCAATAAGATGAGATAAAGCAGACTTAAGTGGGCTGATCATCTAGAACATACCCAATACAAACCGGTTAAGAGGTACGAGTTGGTTTAAGTGGAAGGCTAAAAAAAAGCAAGGGTAGGCCAAAAAACATAGTAAGAAGTAATGAGAAAAGATATGGGACTTGTGGCCTCACTAAGGGTATGACCCTTGATAAAGAAGAATCGTGGACCGTGATTTGTGTAGCTAACCCCAAATAATTGGAAAAAAAGCTATGATGTGATAACTCCGTTGATTGTTTATATCCCAAAATTTGGGGTCTTAAAATCATTTCTAAAATAGGTTTTACTCGATAGAATGAATAGATAACATACTCAAGCACAAACATTAAATCTTTTGGCTAAATTGAATCCATATAATTATATAAATATATGGACCATTCACATGTATGTTATTGTATACTATGATACTATTTATCATTGTTACAAATAGTTCATAATCATTCCTAGCCATTAAATGTCAAATTGGGATGTGTCAATGAAATTCAAGAATGTTAAAGAAAAAGAAAACTTTGAATCTATTCAATGATACACTTATATATATATATATATGGAAAAGCCTTCCCAACGCCTATAGACAAAAATAAACAGTGATTTTGCCTATGCTCATCACCGTCTAAAGTTCATCATACGGTCACGATTATCCGGTAGTGTTTCAATTTTTTTTTTTATAGATTGGAATGCTATGAAATTTAGAGCGTGTGTACATCTTTGTGAGACGCACTTAATAAAACTTTTAAAACAATATTTCACAAAATATAAATTGACTTTGCTTGTACTTTCGTTTTTGCATCAGCCTAACTATATGCCCATCTTTAATAAAAAATTTATTATTCTTCACAAAAAAGAAAAGATAAAACATGGCAAGAAGTCACCATTTTTGTACAAATTTTCATTTTTTCCACTTTCTAATTTCTCTTGACAACAAATCTTGGAGCCAACCATATGAAAGTATCAAGTAAGAGTGAGGCCTGGTGGAAGCCATATTTAGGCTCCAAAAAATTGAAATATTTTAGAAAAGGAGAATTGTTTCATGTGGGCTGGATCACATTTCTACATATGCGGTCCAAAAGCATAAAGCATCCATCTTAAAGATAGATACAAATAAGTGGTCCATCTAAAAACAATGGAAACTAACGTTCCAAATGTTTTCTCAATGAAATTATTATTTCTAGTTTTTAAAATTTATTTATTTATACAGATTAATCATGTCCATGTTAAAAATTATATATCCTCTAAAAATTAGGATCGAATTCTATATAAAAAATAAATTCATTAAAGGGCCTGCATTTCTACATGTGCGGGCTTCGCCTGCATGCTAACCGTATCCTTTAGAAAAGCTACTGTTTCTTAAAAATATTAATTTAGTTTAGTGATCCTTTAATAAAAGTAAAACATAATAGAAAGCATAATTAGGCTAGGATGGCAGGGTTTGGTGCTAGGTCTAGATCATGATAATGGATATGGAAAATCAGGTCTTGATCCTAGAGATCCTGACCCAACCAAGTTTGAGTCCAAGTATAGCTTGAACCCATATAGACGTTGTCATGCAACCCAACCCGTAACCGATAGGATATCCAAGTCTGACTCTAAGCCTTGTACATAGCGGGTCCGACTTGATTAACCTCGGCCCATCCGGACCTCCCAAGTCCTCAAGCTCCCACTCTAGGATAGGTAACCAGACCCATTTGCACCGCTACAATAGCATTCAAGGTAGAGAATGATAGAGAGTGTTTAGTGTAAGGATTAATGGCTAACAACCGGCTAAGCACCTTATCTCATCCTCCTTTCTTCAACACATGACCCCTATTGACACCCAGATTAGATCAATGCTCCCTTTCGATTTATAAAGACAATGTTTTTGTACTAGTGTTTTAGAATTTGGATCCTAATAAGTCTGTATTAGCATTCCGGATTGATAAATCAGCCATAAATCAAGCAAATAAATAATAATAAAATTACACACTTGACTATCAGGCAATTGTAATATGTCTGGGAAAAAAAATCATCTACCAATAAAAATCAATCTGGATGGAAAATTCCTGATACAAATTAATGTTTTAAAACACCCATACGAACATATTAATTGAGCAAATCGCCCAGCATTTACTATTCAAGTTGTCACGTGGATGGATATTCGCAAATGACATTGTACTTTTAACAACTTTTTCAAAGAAAATGGCTTGATAGGGCTGTAGCCTAATCAAAATAAATAGAGCCTCATCTCATGACTCATCCAAAACTGTGATTCAAGTATTAGAAAATCTTACATCGATCATCTCCACTCGAACATTGTGGTTGCCAAAAAAATGAAATTTCAAGCTTTAAAAATGATATATATATATAATAATAAATTATCTAGATCATTTATCTTACTCTAAAAATAAGTATTCATAGATTCTCAAGATCAGTATATTTTTTTAGTTTCAAATTTAATTATCGGTGTTGGAAATTGATTTTTGAACTGTCATGAATATTTCCATTGCCGAAAATGCTTTATAGATGAAAATTTTAGTTGACGCTTTAGTTTGTTTCCATAAACCCTTGGCCATATAGAAACTTCATCCTTATTTGAAACTTAGTGACAAAATCTCTATAAAAAGAGAGGAGAAAGTGCACAGCAAAGAGGCATGCCTAATGCAATGCATAGATGCAATGGCCACTCTATGTTCTTGACCTCTAGGTGTGAGAATTGACCCGCTTTAAACCCGGATTTCGGACCCTATTTAGATTTGGGTATGGACTCTGGATTCGAAATTTGGATGCAGATCCAAAAATCAAATCCGAATTGAAAGTAAGATCGGATCTGGGTGCAGGTGGATCCAACCTATATCCCACCTGAATGCAGATCCAGTTCCAACCCGGTTTTTTTTATAGGAAATTTTTATTTCATATAAATAATTGTTTTTATAATAGTATATATATAATTTGGATCTGGATTCAGATCTGAATCCAGATCTGATGTATTTAGATCCATATCCAAATATCAAATATCCGGTTTGAACCTAAATCCGATGTATATTATTCGGATCCATATCTGAACTTGGTGGATGCCGATCCCACCCCTATTGACCTCCATGGCCTTTTTTGTGCAAGACCAAACTTGACTAACAACTTTACTTTTTTCAAGATCATATAGCCTACTCCCTCTTGCTCCTCCGGCAAAAGATACTCGACAAGATTTTAAACAGATAATAGATGTACATCATACTCCCACGGAGCATATAACTTTTTGGCCTTTTTCCCTTGCGTTTCTTGTTTTTGCCATTTTCAGGTGAGTAAACACTTGTATTAGGAAACAATACAAGGTACTACTAGTAGGCTCCAAGATTTATAAAGAACCAAGAAGAATTTGCCATACTAAAGAAAGAGAAGATATCTGAGCATTTGAAAATGGACGGCCCAGAAAATTGTATATACCTAGTACTTTCCCTGTAAAATATTAGAATCAGGCTCCAAAGCAGCATGGTTTCTGATGATTACATATAGAGTTTAAGGTAATATGCATTCAAAAATTTCATTTAACCCCAACATTGTCACAGGGAACTTCAAAATGGCTAGGAGCCCACAACCTAACAACCCTAGTAGATACAAGAGAGAGGGAGTTAATAATCCCAATCCTGTGACCTAATCACCCCTGTTTAACACTGCATCTTCCTGAGAGAGAGAGAGAGAGAGAACCTCAATAATCCTAAATCCTATGTGTGAAAGAGAGAGAAGACATCAATAATCCCAACATTGTAACCTAATCACAACTGCCTAACACTGCATCTTCCCCAACTTCCATAGCTGCATTTTCCTCAACACCCACCTGTGGAACCTCAGTCTCACCAGCTTGCCTCTTGAGCAGCTCATTCAGCAGAGTCTCCTTGGCCAAATCTGGGTCCTCTTTGTAGCCCATGAACCACTCTGCAACCTCAGCTGGTGTCACCTCAACCTCTCTCAAAGCTTCCCCCACCTTCTCCTTTAATGGGTGATCCTCCAATCCCACATAGTTCTTGCCCAAAACCTTGAAAGCCTCAAATCCACAGTATGACAAATGAATGTGCAGATCCATTCTACCAGGCCTGAGCAGCGCAGGGTCAAGCTTCTCCTTGTGATTAGTGGTAAAAATAATCAATCTCTCTCCCCCACAAGAAGACCACAACCCATCCACAAAATTCAATACCCCAGAGAGGCTCACCAAACTCTTCTTATCTTCTCTCTTCCCTCCTCCCTCCAATTTCCTCCTCCTCCTCTCTCTTGGCCTTCGCCTTCTTTTCCCTGTTCACGAGGTCCCGCGAGCAATCGATATCCTCAATGGCGATAATTGACTTGCTGTTTGTCCAAGTGAGGAGCTTCCGGAGCCTGAAATTGCTCATAACTGATCTCAATTCGAGATCGTAAATGTCGAAATTCAGGAAATTGGCAATGGCCACGATCAGGCTGGTCTTTCCGGTCCCTGGTGGCCCGAAGAGCAGATAACCCCTCTTCCGTGCTCTACCCACTTTCTTGTAATACTCCTTTTGATGCACAAACCTCATCAAATCATTCTTAATCCTTGTTTTCATCGAGGAATCGAACGCCAGGGTGTCCAAAGTCGATGGGTGCGAGAACGAGACAGGGGACCATTTCCCGCCCTCATGGTCTGCAGCCCTGTTGGTGTAGAGGCTCATCTCTCTGTTTCTCATTTCCAGCAATGAGGCCTCAGCCATCACATGGGGAATGTAAGAGTTGCTTACCATTTTTCTGTGTTTTTTGCTGAATGTGAGCTCAAAGTACCGGTCTTCGTCTTCTATGCTCCCTGAGTTCTTCTCTGCAATGTGAAAGGTCCAGTAAAGGGGAGCACCATTAAAGTGGTCAGTTATTTTCTGGTTAGAGACCATGGAAAAAGTGTAGGACCTCGAGTTCTCGGCCTTTGTGACCTTTAATGCATTGGCCAAAGCATAGCATTTAGGAGAGAAATAGGTTTCTACTGATTCACAGGTCTCGTTTGAGTAACGAGAGTCGTCATATTCATCTATCATGATAGAGACATAGGGACAGAGGAGGAATGAGAACAATGTCTTACCAACACTTTCAATGGCTTTCTTTGCTTCATGGGAACACAAATGCGGCCGGCAAAGAGAGAGCTCAGATATCTCCAATCGATACAGATCAAACGGATCTAGAAAAACTTGAAAATAGACGGTCCAGATAACTCGTTGCAAGATGCATTTTTTTTTTTAGCTTGAAATTCTTTTTTTTCTTCATATTCATTCATATCAAGATCGAGATGACCAGTTGGAGGGTTCTCCTATGCCGAAACACTCTCCACTATAGGGTTTTTGAGGTGCACCATACTTTAACATTTGCAACTTTATAATTTTTTTTCTTTTCTCAATTAATTCAAGAAAGTTTTCATAAAGTTATTTAGGCTTAAGACGAATTAAAGAAAAGTTTAAACATACTTTAACATTATAAGGTTACAACCTGATATAAACTTATATCTTTTCTCGATTAATTGAAGAAATTATAAGGTTACAACTTAATATAAATTTATATCTTTTCTCGATTAATTGAAGAAAGTTTTCGTAAAGTTATTTAAGCTTAAAACTAAATTAGAGAAAAGTTTAAAGTTTTCACCCATTCCATTCTAAGCGAATCCGGCTTCCGAAGACAGCCGTGCCAAGACATTCTCAATCAATATGGAACTGCTCTCTCCCGCTCCCTCCTTAATAACCCGAGGATACAAGAGAAGGAAAGAAAGAGAGAGACTCATGAATGCATGAGAAGGGAAGAAAGAGATGGAAGAATAAAGAGAGGGGAAGGAGGAAAGAGAATAAAATAAGAGGGAAAGGAAGAAAGAGAATGAAAAAAACTTTATTATTTCAAGAGGAGTGTGGTTTGTACCAGGCTAAACAAGGCACACTTTGAGATGGTGTCAAAAAATGTTGTTTCAATACTGAAAATCTTTATAATGTCCTGAAAAATTGTTTTCATTTTTAATTATAAAATTTAAAGTCTAAAAAATAGTGTAGATCAAACATATCTATAAACACATAGAAATCTTAAAAATTAACAGCTTAGGTAATCCAATATAGGATGCACTATTTCCCATACTTGAATTCCATTTTTTCTTTTTATGTCCACATATCTCAAAGTCGAATAGATTGGATTTGGGGATCCGCATAAAAAAAAATTTCTTCTGGTAAATTTTTTTCTATGTGTATGAGTTTATGACACCAAAATTTGGACGTCCAATCCTCTCTTGAAAGAAATATAAAAGAAATATTCCCAATAAAATAAAATGACTAAAATGCCTCAAGTTTCAAAGGTATTTTAATCATTTTATTTTATAAAAAATGCTTTTACAGGTTTCACCCATAGGGCAAGGCTAAGTTCCCCCATGCAATTCGGGGTACAGAAAAAAAGTCAATAGAAATCCAAAAGAAAAAAAAGATTAAATAACCGTAAAAAGCCTGGAAATGGTGTATAAACTTTTTTAAAAAGGAATTATATGCTTTTGGCAGTGATTGGTGAGTATTCTTTTGCAACGATCCCAAGTTTTAATTTTATTTTGCTTTGGATTTAAAAAGCAAAATGTATACAAAGAGACATTTTAATACAAAGATATCACAATCACTCTAGTTCGTTAGATTTCAAATTGGGTGCTTTTGAGCGTGTCATATTGTCATTGACTAGACTTAAAATTCAAAAAAAAAAAAATCTCAAACTTTGTGATGCACTCCAAGCATCCGATTTGTTGTCAAATGGCTAGTAGCCATTGTGGCCTGTTCTTAACAAAGATAAATGGTATCGTAGTATACAACTTTTTTAAAAAAATGAAAAAAGTTTATATAAAGGTGGGGCTCTAAACAATTAAATTAAGGCAAGCGTCAAAAATTCACTAGGAGAGGCTTTTTCGATGAGAAAAAATCCTCAATTCGATCATCTAGACCTTAAGATATATGGATATGGGAAAAGATAGATTTTCTCAAATCTTAAAAATAGTGCATATTGCAATATATTATCTAGACTGTCAATTTTTAATATTTTAAGTATCTATAGATTTACTTGATCTACACCATTTTTCAATATTTCAAACTTATACTTAGATATGAAAATAAATTTTTGGCCATCTCAAAGATTTCTAATATTGAAGAAAACATATTTCAGCACTATTTGAAGGTGTCCCTTGCTTTGATTGGTTAGGGCCTCAGCCTTATACAAATGGGCAAGCTTTCTATGCTTCCCCTACAACATAAAACTTCTATACTTCTCCCTATCTAATTGTCCATTCTAAATGGACGGCTTAGATGGCTCCAAGTATAAAAAAATTAAAAATTAAATACTTTAAGGCGTTAGATTTAGATTAAATGGTTAGTAGCTCACTTATCTAAATTGGAGGGCTGGATAAAAGTGGAAGTATATAAGGAAGCATAGAAACCTTTCCTTGTATTTCAAAATGGGAAAAGTTTATGTAGAGCCGAGGCTCTAAACAATCAAATAAGAGCCTAACTCAAAATTCACTAGGAAAAGTTGTTTTGATGCCCAAATATCCTGAAATTGATCATCTCGACATCATGATGCATGGACATGAAAAGAAATTGGATTTCAAGTTTTTGAAAATAGTGTATTTTGTAATGCATTTTGGACTGTCAATTTTCATGATTATTAAGTTTTCATAGATCCGCTCGATCTACACTATTTTTGAAGCTTTAAACTTTATAAATAAAGATGAAAAAATATTTTAAGGTATCACAAAGATTTCTAGTATTGAAACCATATTTCTCGATACTATTTGAAGGTAGGCTCTAATTTGATTGTTTAGAGCCTAGGTTCGATACAAACCGCACCCTTTAAAATATCCCCAAACGTAAATTACTTGTTTAAACCTATTTTTTCGGTGCCTTTTCAAACTTGACTGGACTTTTTCAGGTTGTTGGTTTTATTTTACTTTTACAGCTTTTGTATTATTATTTGTATTTTTTAATTACTTATTAATTTTTCTTGAGTGTTTTGATGTACATGATTCAAGCGAGTCATTCTAGTTCACCCAAATAACTCACCTCGCCAAGAGCCGAGTCCTTTAACATTGATTCACAGACTTAGAGATCACAGATAAATATAGCATTGTACAGCTATGAATATGACATTTACCAGTTTCATAAACTCAAGGCGCAGGTTTGGCAACTCTTATTTGTTGCATGGTTTTGTAGCTTAAATTGGAGATGAGATTTCTTTCTATGGGTATGTGATAAATGGTGTGATGTCTATACAGCTCTTCCATGTCCATTGCAAATGGAATATGAAGCCTGAATCTAAAAAGGCTGATGAGTTGCTACTTTTATAGCCCTGTAACTCCTAGTTGGGCCGGTTCCACGCTAAGGGAAAAGTTTTTATACTCTTTTACAGCATGGAAGAGATATACTTCTTTCCATCATATCGTTCAATTTAGATAAAATTTACCACTGACCGTTTGATCTAGATCCGACATTTTAGAGTTTTTTTTTTTTTTAATACAAATTATATGAATATAAAATTTGGTATGTGTCATTATCTCAATGGAGTGCACCTAAAAGGTAAAAGACGGACATACATATAATAACGGAAACCATTTGGTATATCCGTAATAACACAAAGTACAACAAATTTTTATATAATGTTTTCTATATTTATTATTATTATTATTATCCATTTGATAGAAATTTTTAGTTGTGGAGGTTCATCTTAAAGAGAAACGTTCATGAGTCATCGGGGCTAGTGGGTCTCTTGACTCGTAAACACTTTTCTTTCTTTTCGGTTCTTAACCATAAAAAATAAATGGGTGTGGTTTCCAAATGGTTGCAACCGATAACAATCCCACTACGGTGCACCTTCAAATTTTAAAATAATATATAATTTTGATGTAAAATGTTCTTAAGATTATCTCAAAATCTATTTTTATATTTAATTATAAAATTTTAAATTACAAAAATAGTTAAAATCAAGTCAATCTATAAATATATGAAAATCTTGAAAATGGACAAGGCGTAGATAATATGTTGTAAGATGCACTATTTCTGATACTCAAAATCTTTTTAATTTTCATAGTCATACATCTTGATGTCGAGATGATCAATCACAACGTTTTTCAACATTAAAACAACCTTTTTCGATGAATTTTTTAGGTGCATCAATAGTTCTACATTATAAGGTTGCAACCTTATATAAACTTTTTCCAAAATAAATACTCACCTAAAAAACCCATAATAAATAAATAAATCAATCAACTCATCACTCATCTACCCTGTTTGTTGGAGATCTTTATTTAAAGAGGCGACACGTACTGGGCAGGAACCGTTCCCATGAGGCAACCGCATATAAATCGCACGTGGGAATTATGGGTGTCTTGCGCACCTCTAGTTTAAATAGCTCCCACGTTCCAAAGATTATATCTATTCCGTAAGAAGCCTGCTAATTACAAAAGTTTACACGTGCTAAACTTGTATAATTCTGATGTCTCGCACGTGCTTCATACTCTTGTGCATATTTACCAAATCACCCTCTATGTGGTACTCGTGCATTGGCCATTATATCGTTTTTGTTCATTTTATTTGGGTGCAGTTTGTATAGAGCTGAAGTTTTAAATAATCAAATTAAAGCCTACCTTCGTATTGAGAAATGTGGTTTTTATATTGAAAATCTTTGTGATAGCCTTAAAATATATTTTTATTTTTAATTATAAAATTTAACGGTTCAAAAATAGTGTAGATCGAGTAGATCTATGAAAAGTTGAAAATATTGAAAATTAACAGTCCAAAAATGTGTTACAAGATGTACTATTTTCAAAACTTGAAATCCATTTTTTTCTCATGTCCATGCATCTTGATGTGGAGATGATCAATTTGAAGATATATTGGCATCCAAACAAATTTTTCTAGTAAAATTTTTGTGGTGCTCTCTAATTTGATTGTTTAGCGCCTAGGCTCTATATAAACCTCTCTTTTTTATTTTATTCTATTTTAGAAGAAAACAATTATTGTAAGCTAACTTGGTTGAAAAGCAGGACCAGGCAAGCCCGAGTCGAAACGT